CTCCTCCCACCGCGAGCGCCTCTTCCTCCTCGGCAGAGGCGCTCGCACGCCCAGAGGGAAGGGGCGGCCGGCGACTGGCTGGGCCCGCTTTAATGGAGAGGCGTCCTCGCCAATCCGGCGCAGCACGGAGGTCCAGCTGGCGGCGGAGCAGCCGAATTTAGGTCTCTCCGCCCCGCAGTGGGACGCGATGGCGGCGGGAGGGAGGCTGTTTGGCTCCTTGGCCGGCGTGGCCTCACTGCGGATGGGTTCGTGCAACGGGACAAGCCGTAGCTCGCTTGAACGTGCTTGCCGATGAAGCCAGCATTGGCTCGGTTCATTCGGTACACTAAGGCTCAAATCACGGTTTCCCAGTTGCGAGAGATGGGTCCGCTCCGTGCACCACGTTGCGTTAAAAGCGACATGCATAACGTACAGGACGGTCGCGCTCCTCGCGTCCTAGACAAGCAACGATACGCAGAGCGCAGGAAGGGAGCAAGGGAAGGAGAAATTAAAGGCGTGAAATGAAAGAGCGTAGCTAAAGAAGACCTGGATTACGTACCCAACCCATTCACTGCATCTCCCTAAGCCTTGCTTCCTTAACGTCCTTGCTTCCAGCGCGCCCATTCAAGTCCCGATTTTCGTTCTTTGCTTTTAAGTCCTTTTGTTTTTTCTTTTTCAGGATCTCGTCAGGGCCATCCACTCCAGCCGAGCTTTCTTAGACTTCTCTTTTCTCCGGACCATTGAGAAAGATTCGCTTTGTGATTCGATCGTCATTTATTCTCTCTCTCTAACCAAACCACTTCGACGTTCTGGTTGTCACTCGGTTTTGTATTCATCCCACATTTGTACAGCGCCCATTCATTCTGGACTGTTCTTTTTTACCACGTGCAGTTCTTATTTAAGAAGGACCCTTCCTACAACGCTCAAGTGAGGCGGCTTTCTCCTGAAATCACTCCCAGGTAACAAAGTGAGCAGAAGCACACTCCCATCTACAGCCATTTTAGTTCATTTTAACAAATAACTCCTTCTTCGTAACATGGCCATTAACGTGCATATTTCCCCATTTTCCCGCCTTTAGTCAACATCCTAAAAATAGTTCGCATGAAGTGCAAATCCAAGTCAGCCTCACTCGGGCGCCGTAATGTGGAGAAGGGGCCCGAATCAGCTTGGAGAGTTGGGGGAACCTTGTGGGAAATACTAATGCTTTGGGCTGCCTTATCAAACGCATTCTCAAAGCAGTAACTAAATCAAAAATAAAATCATTGCACTTCCATTACCAAACTCTCTCGAGCTCAGCTGAATTTATTGCTCAGGAGAAATGGACAGGATTGTGCTCTCAGAAGATAAGAAAACACATTATGGTCTGGAAGAAAAGAGCATGCTCAAGATACTCCAATTAAGATGAGTGTTACTTGCATCTCACCTTGACTCAAGTTAGTCCTGACCAAGCTCTATAAATAAATAATGAATTTCTTTGGCTTTTTTAGAGCCCCTGCATGTTGAGGCACAAATAACTCCCCCTATCCTGGTTCAGGGAGATACCCCTAATTTGGTATACAAACCTTAGCCTTCACTAAATTGTGGAGCATGTTTCTCAAATATCTGAAGCACTTATTTTAGCTCACTTACTCTTATAACAACCTTGAAAGGTAGACAAGTATTATTATTGTCCATCTTGCAAATAAAGTGCTGAAGCTTTGACAAACAATATTAAAGTATTTAAGTATTTGGTAGGGCTGGGCTGCAAAAAACTCTGGCCAACCATTAAACAGCATCAAAGAGATACAAAATCTCTTTGCTTGTCTAAATGTTTGTAACTCTGCTCTTGTAGCCTTGTTTTTGATAAACGGTTATTATAGTATTAATTGTTAATATACAATATAAGCAAATGACCAACAATTGCATGTGATGGTTGACATTGCAGTGGTGTGATGTCTTTGCCTAAGGCCAGCCCCTGGTTGAATTCCTACATCACACTAAATGATAATGAAGTCCATTCGTTTTTGATTTAGTATGTTGTGTGAATTCAGTCACTGTGGCTTGTAAACCATGTTTATGATTTAGCAAGATGCTCAGACCAAGCCAGAAATATTTTTTTTCCATTATGCCACAGTTAAATTGTGGCTTAGTGTGGTGCGTGAACAGGTTACTGGCTGTATTTACATATAACACAACATCTATTTTTTAAACATAATTTCTTGAATCAACCATAATGGTCTGGTTTGTACAAAACAGCACTGTAAGCCAAAACCTCATGATAGCTGAGTGTGCTATATCTCCCAAACCACATGTTCACAGGCCATCACAGCTCAGCTGAAATATGAACTGGAATCTTCTCACACTGTTTCTTTTAAATTCTGTGTCAACTGTCACCAGTGTAGCATTTGTTGATCGCACACTGAAGCAGATACTGAAGCTATATTTACCCAACATAAGCCATGATTCAGTGAATAAATCACAGCCATCTGGATTTGCACATAACCATGGTTTAAATCCACAAGGCTAGATTCATGCAACTTATGAAGCCAGACTCAACAAACTATATTATGCCTTAGTGTGCCATGTAAAAGCAGCCTGCAAATCATGTTGTAAGTTGAGTCATTTGAATGCAGCTATTCAGCATTTGGATTTTTGTTATTCTGCTGGTGCAAGTAATGTATTGCTTCTATTGCCTTGTAACAATGAATCCTGTAATGCAATCATAAACAATGCTGAAAATGACTGATTTCAAGATCATCCTGCAGTCCAAAACATGCTGACTTAGAATTAACTCCAATTGAATTCAACTGGCAGGAGCAATTATTGCAGCCCAACTTATCTGGAGGATTTTAATTAGGGAAGGCTACTTAAAGATGACTTTGGTATCTCTGTGAATCCCAAATATTTTACAAGCAAATGTAGCCTGCCAGACTCCCACTCTGTTAGGCCACCATTTTTTGGTGGTCAATAAACATCTTCAGTCCTGCTAGGGGCATTGGTGGGGGCATTGGTGGGGGCATTCAGTCCTGCTAGGGGCATTGGTGCTAGGGGCATTGGTGGTGAAGTGTTGATACAATTTTTAAATGCAATGCACTAATAGCTGGGGTTTTGACTGTACTATTGCAACCACCATCTTGACTTTTTTCTACTGCTCCTGTCCTCCACCCTCCCTCATGAATGTGGAGCAAGGTAGCTGTAGCTAGGATCGCACTTGGAACAAGAGCAGGCTGAGAAGACAGTGAGCTGGACCTCTGGAAGTATTTTAAGGGTGTAAGAACCTCTTGGGGAGTCTTAATGAAGACCACAATTAACATGTTAGAACAATGTGCTCCACGTGCATATCTGTGTAACTATAGCATCTAGCATAAGAATGCCATAAATTACCACTGATGACTTTCCATAAACAGCAGAACCCTGTATCAGGATGGTGCTCCTTGAGATCTCTCTGCCCAAACAGCAGGGTGCAAGGTCACAACAACATAATACTGTTATAATACCACAATAATAATGATACTGAATACGACTGAATTAGTTTTGTACACTTTACTTGGAAGTTCCCTTAAGGATAGTTTGCGGATTGCAGCTAGTGCTGTATGGCTACAGAGTCCTTTACTGCAGACAAATACTAACATGCTCCACTTTGGTTGCCTGCTCGCTAACAGGGCTGAGCCGTGCTTCAGATTTCAGTTAGAAAAGGTGTGCAGAAATATGAATGCAACAGCTGCGTGTGACTCATGAAAGCAACCTTATCATTTTCCAGGCACCTGCAGCCCCTGTAGGAAATGTTTCTTCTTGATAGGGCCCTAAACAGCCCAGAAGAAGTTATTTAAATTATTTCCTAAAGGCCTACATGGTCTTTACACTCAAAGGATGATGCTCTGCTAACCATACCACTGATTGCTGATGCTCACTCTGGTATGGTGAGAAATAAGCTCTGCAGTCCGCCTACCTACATACTAAGCGTCTGACAATGACTTGGCCAGCTCTCGCTCTAGTAAATGTTTGCAGAAATGGAAATGTGTGTTTTGTTTGTTTGCTCAAGCCTCCCTTTGATTTTATCAGCTGTTCTAATCATTGCTAGTTTTTTATTATTTTATTTATAATCATTCTTGTGAGATGGTTGATTTTACATGATTTTGTTTGCTGTTTTGATATGATGTTTCATTGTACTTAATATAATTATTGTAATGTGCTTTGCTCTTTCATAACGGAAGAGCAGTATCAAAATGTCTGCAAATAAATAATATAATTAAAAAATAAATGATATGGGAGCCCTGCCCTTACTGCAACTGGCCAGTCAGCTTCATAAGCAAGCAGATGTTGCTCTTTTCTTTTTCTTCTATTATCTTAGTTTCTCTTTTTCTGTTTAATTAACAAATTAAGGCCAATTTTAAAGGGAAAAACCCTGCAGGGATCAGCCGTGAAGAATCCTTTATTTATTAATTTATTAATTTATTAATTAATTTATTAATTCTTTATCCCTTACGTGCATTGTGTGTATTCCATATGTTTATTAATTTTGCTATATGTTTTGTGCTTTACTTTGTGACAAACCTAATAAATAACTGAATAAACATAGTTTTTGTAGACCAGTTGGATCTGTTAAGACCAATCCAATAAGCACACACATAACCATGTTCTTTTTTTCCAACATTCTGGAGAGGATTTATTTGTTTGTTTGTCTGTTTATTTATTATTAGATTTGTATGGCCCATCTCATCTAAGTGATTCTGGGCAGCTCACAACAGTCCAATAAAAAGTTAAAAACCAAAATGCAAAAATATAAAAACCATCCATAATCAATTTAAAACAGAAAAGCATGATCCATGGCAGAAATCATCCTATATCAGCTTACCACAGCCATTGTAAGAGCTCCCCACCATTGCCAGACCCCCAGACAAAGTGGCAGATGATGTTCTACAGGGGGGCACCATGGCAGAAAAGGCTTTCCTCCTGGATCCTACCAGATGATACTCCTCCATA